CTGAAATTGCACAAACCCCATGTACCACTACGATCCATTGTCGCATCCACAACAGCACCCAACTACAATCTCGCAAGGTACCTCTTCCAGATACTACGCCCATCCCTACCTGCGAACCAAAACGATGCGAACCGTCCCACGGCATTCCTGGGACGCATCAAGGGACTAAAGATCAAACCAGACGAAATGATGGTCTTTTTCGATGTGACCTCACTGTTCACCAACATACCGAAGCAAACGGCCATCGAAAGTATCCGATACTTGTTGCAAAACGACCAAAATTTGCAATTAAGAACGAAACTTTCCGTGGACGAAATAGTGAAACTCGTAGAACTCTGTATGGAAACCTACTTCCAATTCGACGGGAAGGTATACCAGCAGATACAAGGAACTCCAATGGGTTCGCTACTCTTAGGACTGCTTGCGGAAGCGGTTATGAAACATTTCGAAGCCAAAGCCTTTAAAATTTTACAACCTCGTCTGTGGATACGTTATGTGGACGATGCATCCATCATACTCAGAGCCTCCACGGTAGATCAGTTGCACCAAATGATCAACGAGCAGATGCCCGGTATCAACTTCACACGCGAGGAAGAAAAAGATGGACAACTCTCCTTCCTCGACATCCTTGTCATGAGGCAATCCGGCAGCAGAAAAGAAACCACGGTCAACCGAAACCGGACCACGACGGACCGCATCCTCAACTACAATAGCAATCACCCTTTGTGCCACCTGCCGAGTTGTGTGCGAACTCTATTGCGCCGAGCAAACTCACACTGCAGCACACCGGAGTTAAAGACAAGAGAAAGAAGTCGACTCCTTCAACTGTTCCTATCAAACGCATATCCCAGGAGTTTTATCAAAGCGTGCCTCAGAGGTAAAAAGTAAACAACATCCAAAAGAAGTAATCTGGATAACGCTACCTTACATACGCGGCACGTCAGAAGCCACCGAACGAATACTCTAACCGTTGGGAATCAAGGTCGCCCATAAACCAGCAGCAACCGTGCGATCGTCTCTTTGCCACGGCAAGGATCGAGTCGAACAGCACGAACGATCAGGAATTACCTACGCAATTCCGTCCCTGGGCTGCAACCAACACTACATAGGTGAGATAGGCAAACAGCTACACACTCGCCTATATGAATACAAGCTTGCCCTCCGACGCGCTGACCCGAGGTCACAAATCTGGAACCACTGCGCATGGACAGGTCACGAGATCGCGATCAATAACGCGGTGGTGGCGCGAGCTAAGAAAAAGGGGAAACGATTAAGTCTCGAAGCTCTACACTCGGTCAGTTCATTTAACCGACATGTCGAGAGGGATAAATATTACGTCACACTCGCAAAACTCGTGACGATTGATGGATTGATAGACGTCCAAACAGCAAACATTCGCACGGAAAGACGGTGATTCCCCTATCTCATTTATTTCATTTACGTTTGACGAGTCCTACTTTGGATAAAAACGTTAAAGTAAACATTTTGAAACTCAGTATATATATATATATATATGAGTAGGAGGGCCACGTGATAAGAGCACACCAGATTCACACGCACAACGATAAGCGGAAAGCTTACTTGGTAAGTCATCATTTTCATTTGCTGCAGCAGGACCGGCTACCGGTGTTTCGCCATTCTTCTGACATTGGATTATATAAACCGCTTTCCATTTGGCATATTTCCTTGCCTTTTCCAACTAGGATGAATTCGGGAATTGGAGAAGGGTGGGGTCAAACAGGAACAACTCACCTCATCATTCGGATTGCCCAGAGTGGTAGCAACATCCAGCAAAACACCAGCCGTATAGAAAGATTTCACGGTGGCCCTAGAGAAGAATATGGAGCATTAGCATATACAGTGGGTGTACTACGTACCTCCCGAAATCGGCGTTCAGATCCCGTTGACAAGCAAAGTTGAACAACTTCAACGCGTACGATTCTACATGTGCCAATCCAAGTGTTTCACTTGTAATACACTCGTTTGTCGCCAGCTGCTTTTTGCTGGCCTCCAAATGTGACATTAGTTTATTTAGAAAAGACTTGGCTGCTTGCGAAGAAGCATCAATGCCAAATCCTTTCTGAAAAGCACAAAGTCGACCTAACGGACAGATATAGTTCATGATCAAACTTAGACTGGAGAACACTTACAGTAGTAAGCAACCACCGGGTCCCGAGTGTCGTGTTCAGTGGCACATTTCAAGAACATTGTGATCGATTTCATACTATCTGGTGGGTCAGGAAGTGCCATTTTGTTTAGTTGTGAACTGAAAATTTATAAAAGAAAATGAGAAAATATCAGCCCGGGATGATGCCCATGGCAAACAAACAACAACAAAAACAACCACATTCAAGGGGGAAATTAGTTCGGATGGGACGAGTAGTATACTGGTGTGAGTCACCTGTGTGCACGAACTCTGACAAAATCACATCACGTTGCCCACAATTATAGTTATATTATATTTCACACTTCTGACACCGAACTGTGTGCGCAACAAACAATGGTACAATAATCTTTATGAGAAAACAAAAAGGTTCAACGAGTTGCATGTGCACTGAATACTGGCAGGTTGCTCAGACCAAAGCTGTTCATCACACACTGGTGTGTAATTAAAAATCGATTGTCTCCATTATGACGTTACCAGAACTCTTGACGTTAAACCGAAGAACGAAGTGTTTGCGCAACATCTGCTGGCAACAACAAAACAAGAAAAAAAACGCGAAAACTCAGTTCTCGCGAAGAACTGTAGCTTCGTCGCAGTGCCCACTGAGAGATACCACGATTAGGCAATACGTGATGTCTTCATCATGGGGTTGTTTTTCAACAGTATTCGCCAAAGGCTTCGCGAGAAGAAAACCCTAAGCTTACAATGTGCTTTTAACGGGGTTCATACTTTGAAGAATACCCAACAGCAATCACTCACGATTCAGTCTTACACGTGCCCTATGGTGTCATGACAAACCAAATAGATCCCATCACTTCACTACAACGTCCCAGAGTTCTCGATTTGCAACCAGAGACCAAATTTTCAGTTTCAGTTTGCACAACCATTAACCATGCACTATAGTGTGCCGGTTTCGGCTGCCCATTTGGATGAATATTAGGAGAAAGACAGGAAAGATTGAAAGTATGATCGAAGAGAAAATTGAAAAGTTCTGTGGATTAATGATACAGAGAANAAATGCATGAACGCTACGGCTTATGACACCCAGTCGTATCATTCAGTGTCTCTAACCATCGAGTGCGACCATCCCGGGGTCCCCATCCAGGGAGCCTAACGGGACCTGTATGACCTAAACTCCTTGTTAGGGTTTTCATACCCTCATGCCAGGTCTTAGCTTGACCACCTTGGGCTTTCTTCCACCCACTACCTACCTCGGCAAACATCGCTCACCGTGGAAGCCTATTTGGAGACATGCATAACACATGCCCCAAACAACTTAATCTATGGAGGTCAACCACTTGCTCTAGTGGGCGACCGCGGTTGCCTAAACCTTTTCGCCTGACCTCAGCATTGCTCGTCCGGCTGCCCCACCAGATTCGTGCAATGCTACGTAGACAGCGGTGTTCCGACACCGACAATCTATTTTTGTCCTGTTTTCTTAAAAGATGGAGTTGAATTGGTTTCTAACAAATGTTTTTTTTCTGTGGAAGCTGTCGACATCCTCGCTCGAAATGGTCAACCCGAGAAGCCACATGCAATTTCTGTGGGAAGAAAGTGTATTTATATAAGGTTTATTGATCCAATTCCAACATTCATCCTAGATGTACATTATCTGTGTCAAATCCAACCAATTCGTTCCCTGTTGCAGTGCCATCGATTGTCGGACTCTCAAACTCTACAATAAAGGTTCGAATCAATGGACAAAGCTAAGTGACACCAGGCAATTGCGAGAGCTATCTGTGCACCGACATTGCGGCGGACCATCGATAGTCTGTAGAGTCATTTAAGTATATCCACTCGTCCATCCTGTGTTACTCACGGGCATGTATACGCTTCTATCTAACATAAAAATATACTAAAATAGGATAAAACTATCCCTCTTGAAAGACTTGCGCACCTGTCATTCTCAGTCTATATGTCCTCAGTCACAATGGTTTAGTCGTTGTCAAAGGACCCTATGGTCCGAGGTTCGATCCCCGCCACCGCCACCCAACTGTGGTGGTAGGCAGCCTTGCTATGGTCCAGTTCAATACCACGCCTAACCTATAAGGGCCTTATGTGTTTCACCACTCCAAGTCCCAGGGTTTAGGTTACCGGTTTTCATCACTGAACAGTAGATCCTCGTGAATATGGGGTTTTCCTCGTTTGCTGTTCATCACACGGAAAGTATGTAACAAAAAAATTAAAAAAGTCAACATTAGAATGTAATCATTCCCTTTGGTGGCAATCGTTCATCTTTCACCGTATGCACTTTCAGGGTGGCACAAGAAGACATTCCCAGTTGCTTAAAAACCTAGCCCCTAATTGCGCACTTATTGCTCTATCACTCAGTTTCCGATCACAATTTTATCGAAGCCGCAAACAAACAAGCTTGTAGAACCTTCCACATCTCCTTGACGGGTACAGGTTCTTGTAACACCTAGCGAGAGAAATAAGAAACGGATGGTGATTGACTACAGCCAAACGATAATCCGTTTCACTTATCTTGATGCTTAGCTTCTAACACGAGTGGATGAATTAGACCAAAATGCGACTCAAAATTGTGTCCTGTACACTTGACCTGCAAAGCGCCTACCACTAGATTCCCATTCGAGAAGACGAAAAGCCATGTACGGCATTCGAGGTTTATGGTAAAGTGTATCTGTTCTGTCGCATCCAGTTCGGGGGTACGAACGGAGTGGCCTGCGTTCAACATACGATAGATAATATCATCTATGAAGAATATCTACAAGATACGGTCACGTATGTGAACAAAGTCACAGTGTGCGGCCGCTACCCGGAAGTGTGTGACCGAAAGATTCGAAACTACAAGAATGCCGCCAAGAAACATGGTAGTAGGTTCAATGAAGGTAAAAATGTATTCGGAGCTAGAAAAATTCGTCTTCTCGGGTATGAGGTTTACATAGTTGAACCAAGACAGACCCCGAAAGATTCTCAGCCCTGAGGGAGCTACCTCCACTGAAGGCTATTGCTTCGTAAAAGTGAGTGGTGGGGATGTTGGCGTACCATGTCCACTGGATCCCATACTTCTCAAACCAAATTCACTCATTAGTGCATAACCACACCTTTCCGATTTCGGAAAACGTAAAATCCTATTTGGAAGAGTTGAAGAAAGCAATTTTTTACCGTTGATCATAACTGTCCACTAATCGTAGGGACGGAAGCATCTGGTATCGCGATAGCGATAAAACCCAATCAGGACGGGCGTGCTGTGGCTTTCTTCTAACGTACCTTAATCCCTAGGAAGCACCACCACTCAGTGAGCGAAAAAGAAGCATGCCCAATCGTAGGAGCTCGTAGAAAAATGGATGCTCAGGAAACACTTCGATCTTATCACGAAGCAGCATTTAGTTGCCTTTACGTACAACAAGTAGCAAAACGGCAAAGCAAAAAACGATAAAATCCACGGACGGAAATTAGAGCTATTATGCTTTTGCTACTATACGCAGAATCGAGATGGAGGGCAAAATCAAACGGACGACACATTGTCCCCGAACCCGATGTATTTCAGCCACATCAGATACGGACTTAAAAGTTACACAGCACCATATATAATCCCGGTATCCCACACTTGTTGCTTGTCCAAACTTAACTTTCGTCATAGACAGTGTTAAAACGGTTGCAAAAGAATGTAAAGCCTGTGCACAACTTAACCCACGCTTTTTCAAACACACTTCTGACAACTTAGTAAAAATGACCAGGCCGTTCAAAAGAATCAGCATCGATTTTTACGCCCCACTTCCCTCTATCTCCTGCAACAGGTATCTTTTGATTAAGATAGATCAATAGTCTCGGTATACTTTCGCTTTTGTTTGCGCTGATATGTGATCCTCGACTGTTATCAATTATTTTCTGTATTAGGAGGGTCTTCCTATATTTATGCTGACCGCGGCACTGTCGGAAGAACAACAAAGTTTTCTTTACAAAAGGGGAGTGGCAACCAGTCGGATAACCTTACACAATCCACGGGGTGACGAAAAAATAAATAAAGATTAAATGGAACTTCGTGGAGAGCCGTTATCCTGGCACTGATATCACAATCTTTGGATACAAACCAATGGGAATGTGTTCTACTGGACGCTTCGTATTCAGTCTGTTCACTTCTGAGCACTGCCACCAAGGAAACACCTTACGAAATTTTTAACATCTATTCAGAGGTCTACCAACATGGATGTTGTTATGTTACACTCCTGTTTGTGGTTTCGCATTACTTTTACTCGTCCCTCTAAATTTTCCCCTCGTTCCTTTTCAGCCCCTGTCGTCCCCTAGATACCGGGCCTTTTGTATTCTCTCTATTAAACGACTGTCACGATGGTCTCTCGCATCAGTTGTCGATTCTAGGTCTTCTACCCAAAAGAATGAATCGGTCTCCAAAATACGATCCTCTGACCTAAGAAGTGTAATCCGGAATATACTCGGTGCATCTTCCGAATGGAAAACAGAAAACTGCATCACTGAGGAGGCTAGCTCCGAAAGCGTCTAAATCGGAAAACATTCATGAAACCACAGTAGATAGGCATATCATCATCATCATCGTACAGCGAAATACAGTGAACCGAACTTCACTGATAGCTGTCAAACTCATAATGAATACAAGGTTAGTGGTAATATTTAGGGTGGACAGGGAATAGACCTGTTTTGAGGGAAGAAGAAGCAGGTGAACCTCTATGGTCAACACACAGAGTACACGATCAAACTCTGCATACATACCGTTTCAAGCATTCTGATCTGATAAGAAATGACAAGATCGCCACTGCTGTCGGTTCGCTACAATAGCTTTTTATAACACACCAGTGTGTGATGAACAGCCAATCCCATAGTCACAAAGACCTGCTGTTCAGTGGTGGAAACCGGCA